AGGTCTCCCGGTTCCTCCTCCCCCCCTCTTCCTGACAGCCGCTCCCCCGCCTGCTCCCCCGGTACAGCCTCCCCCCCCTGGTCCAGCCCCGTCTGGTGTGTCTCAGGCTAGCCCTCCCCCTTCGGTAGCCCCCCCTGTACAGCCTCCCTCCCCACAGTCTTCCTCGCCGCCTCCTGCAGGTGCTCCCTCTCGGGAGGTTGGTCCTGCGACTGTCCCTGTACAGGTCTCTGGTTCTGGGGGTGCTGGAGTTGGAGCTGAGCCGCGGGTTGCAGAGGACTCTTGTCTTCCGGGGGCTGGTACTGGTCGTGCGGAGTCTGGGGGTGCTGGTGCGGAGTCTGGGGGTGCTGCGTCTGGGGGTGAGGGTGTTCCTTCGGTTTCTGGAGAGCCTGGGTCTGGAGCTGGTGTTGGTGCTGCCTCTGGGGGTGGTGTGCTTGGTGCTTCGGAGGTCGACTCTGGGGCTGCCGCTGCCCCGGACACTACTCCTTCCCCCCACCCCTACCCGACCAGGTTCCAGGCTCGTGTTCGCCGTGCTCGTGAGGAGCAGCTGGAGTTGGAGAGAGAGGAGAGAGAGTTGCAGCGGCTCGAGGAGCAGGAGCGACAGCAGCAGGGGCAGCAGCCGCTGGAGCAGCAGCAGCCGCAGCAGCAGCAGCTGCCGTCTCCTCCTCCTGTCTCGGGTCTTCGGACCCTTGGTCTCCCCTCTCCCTCTCCTTCCTCCTCCCCCTCTCCTCCCGTCTCTGGTCCTTCGCTTCCTCCTCCTGACCCCTCTCCCGCTGTTTTCCCTCGTTCTCAGTCTTCGTTGTCCCCTCCTTCTTCTCAGACTTGGGCCTCTCGTCGCTCCCCTCGTGCTCGTCCCTCGTCTCCTGTTCCCTTCACTGACCTTCGTACTGCCTTACTTCGTTCTAGTCCACCTCGTCCGTCTCCGTCTGTGCTTCCGTCTCCTCCTGAGTCGGCTCTCACTGCGTCGCTCCCTACTCCTGTCACAGACTACTACCGCACGTACCGTCCTCTTCTCTCTCGTGTTCTCGCCTCGCTTGTTACTCACCCTCGTGCCTCTGTGTCCTCTGTGTCCGCTCTTACTGCCGCAGTCACTGACTTTGCCTCTACCCGCCGCCTTGACTTCGCCACCGCTCTTGTGGCTGCTCCTCCTTCCAGTCCTCTGGCCGTCGGGGGTGTGTCTGCCCTTGGCTGTGACGCCCTAGAGGACAGGCAGTTTGAGCTAGAGTTCCTGGCGGCCGCTTCCCCTCATCTCTGTGCCATGCTCCTCGCCCCTGAGGGTGACCCCGACGCCCTTGACATTCCGACTCCTCGCACTTACGCTGAGGCAGTGTCAGGGCCTTGGGCCTCTCAGTGGAGAGCTGCCATGGACGCAGAGATGGCCTCCTACAGATCCACAGGCACCTACGTCGATGAGGTTCCCCCTCCGGGGGCGAACGTAGTCGACGGCATGTGGATCTACAGGGTGAAGCGGCCACCGGGATCTCCTCCGGTCTTCAAGGCACGCTACGTGGCTAGAGGTTTCAATCAGCGCGAGGGAGTTGACTTCTTTCAGACCTTCGCGCCCACCCCGAAGATGACCACTCTTCGGGTGTTACTACACGTAGCAGCACAGAGAGACTACGAGTTACACTCTCTTGACTTCTCTACTGCTTTCCTTCAGGGCAGTCTTCACGAGGAGGTCTGGTTGCGTCGTCCCTCTGCCTTCACTGGCACTTTCCCTCCTGGGACCCAGTGGAGGCTGAGGCGACCGGTTTACGGTCTTCGTCAGGCTCCTCGTGAGTGGCACGACACCCTGCGTTCTACCTTGTCTGACCTTGGGTTCCAGCCGTCTTCTGCTGACCCGTCGCTGTTCGTTCGTCGTGGCCCCACACCTTTCTTTGTTCTGGTCTACGTTGACGACCTTGTTTTCGCCACCCCTGACAGGGTTGCTTTGGCACACGTGAAGTCCGAACTGCAGAAGAGACACACCTGCACTGATCTTGGTGAGCTGCGCCACTACCTTGGCCTGCAGATCACCAGGGACAGAGCTGCTCGCACCATTACACTTTCACAGTCGCACATGGTGCAGCAGGTCCTTCAGCGGTTCGGGCTTCAGCACTCCACAGTACAGCGCACACCTCTTGCTGTTGACCACAGACTCACTGGACCCTTTCCTGACGAGCCGTTCGAGCCTAGTGGTCCCTACGCAGAGCTTGTGGGTTGCCTCATGTACCTGATGACTTGTACTCGCCCGGACCTCGCCTTCCCTCTCAGCGTTCTTGCGCGCTTTGTTGCGCCAGGGAGACACCGTCCTGTTCACTGGACAGCAGCTGTGAGGGTGGCGAAGTACCTAGCGACGACGTCAGGCGTGGGGCTAGTTCTTGGAGGGCAGCAGTCTGTCGTACTTACTGGTCACTGTGACTCCTCTTACGCTGACGACGCTGAGACTCACAGGTCTACTCAGGGGTACTGTTTCAGCCTGGGTTCTGGAGCTGTTTCCTGGCGGTCCACGCGCTCCTCTTCGGTCTCGACCTCTACAGCTGAGGCTGAGATCTACGCTGGTGCCATGGCGGCACAGGAGCTGCGTTGGTTGACCTTCTTGCTCACCGACCTTGGTGAGCGGCCGAGCTCTGCACCGACCTTGTTCACTGACAACAAGGCGTCTATTCTCCTTTGTCGAGAGCCACGACTGGAGAGCAGAGTGAAGCACATTCACGTCAGGTACTTTCTTCTGCGAGAGTTGCAGAGGCGTGGACAGGCTCGCTTTGAGTTTGTGGAGTCCGAGGCCAACACTGCAGACATCTTCACCAAGGCGCTTCCGCCTTGTGACCACCAGAGGTGCTGTGTGCAGTTAGGCCTTGTTGACACTGGTTCTCGTGTTGCTTAGGCTTGAGTGTACTGTTTACTTTGCTTTCTATATACCTCTGTTACTTCTTGGACTGGCCTTGTGGCCACTGTTGTTTGTGCTCAGACTGTGTGGTGACGTTGTGATCCACCCTGAGCTTCGTTTCTTGGACTGGTCTTGTGACCGTACTCGTTTGGTTCTGCTAGACACCCCTCACTTAGGCTATGGGGGTGTGTCAAATGTTGTAGCCTATAGTGAGGTTTGTCTTAGGGGGTACAAAACTTAGGGTTAGCTATATGTACCCCAACCAACATCAATGCATCATCCATTCCTCATTTTGACAGCTGCAAACATTGTGAAAGGCTGCATACGACAAATATTGTGTAACTTAAGAGACTTCAGTAGAATTTGAACTTATTGAGGACAAACTTATCCCCAGCGACGGGAACCACATGTGCCTCCCCCAAAATACTGTCAATCTCTACCACCTGATACTCATTATCAGGTACCTCCCACTTAAAACAGGGCAATGGGATGCATGCGCCTCGTCGGTAACCCGGTAGAACCTAACAAATGCACGCTCCTTCTGATCCGCCAACTCTGCTGCTGGATCCTTTGGCGCAACTACGAAGAAGAGCAGCAACCGCGCATACCAGATCACATCCTTCGGCTTTCTTGTGCCATCCGACAACACTTCCACCTCAGTTCCCAAAACAGCGACATCACTGAACCAAATGTCGAAACAAGCTAGGCAAAGTTTAGAAACAGAAAGAGGGTTTGAACTAGCAGGCAGTTGAGTACAAATAGCAAACCCTAGATTGGGCTGTACTCGCTATAGAGTACCCCACTGCAGGCTAGACAATATAACATTCTGACACACCCCCATAGCCAAAGTGGGGTGTAATCAGCACAACAAGCAGTCACAATAGCAATAGTTCATAAAATTATGAGCAAAGGTAGAGGCAGTCACTGAGGGCAAGTGAGGAGGAGGAGGGCTGGCGAGAGGAGAGTAGATGGGAGGCGACGACTGAAGCTGCAGACACACGGGCAACAGACGGCTCTGGTGCAACGCTAGTGGCTACCGGGAGCAAGTGCCCCGGAATACAGGAGTAACTGGCTCTGCGTCTGATCAGCAGCGACAGGAGCAACGGACCCACGGGCGACAGGTGCAACCGGCTCTCTGAGCTACCGGTGGCTATCAGAACCCCGGAATACAGGCGCTGCGGACGACACGACGGCAACCTCCACTCAATCTCCCCCAACAGTCCCACACCCCTCGACACACACCCCCTGCTGCGCCCCTAGCTCCACTCCCCCTTCACCCCCCTAGCACCACTCCTTCGGCTCCCCACACAACCACCCCCCTGAGCGGCAGCTGCAGCAGCGGGAGACGAAGGAGGAGGAGGAGGAGGGGACGGGGCACACAACCGGCACCCCCACAACCGCCACCCCCACACTCCCCACCCCCAAACCCTAAAACGGGCGGAACGGGGTAGGAGCGCGGGGGACGGCGAGGGGGAAGGCGCGCGGCCCCCAGGGCGCCACCATGGGGCAGCGAGGGGCCGCGCGCAGCCCCCCAGGGCGCCGCGACGGGGCAGGGGGTGGGTCGCGCACGGCTCCAGGGGCGGCTCGCGGGTCTCCGGGGGGCGACGCGAGGGTCGACGGGGATCGCGCGCGGGTCCCGCGGGGCGACGCGACCGTCGACGGGGCAGCGAGGGGTCGCGCGCGGCTCCCCAGGGCGGCGCGACGGGGTGGCGGGGCGACGCGACCGCCGACGGGGCAACGGGGGCTGCGCGCGGGTCCCCCAGGGCACCGCAACGGACAGGGCGGGGGCGCGCGGGGGTCCTCTACGGTAGGAAACCGCCGCGCGCCTCGGGGCGCACGGCGGGCAGAAAACCGCCGCGCGCCCCGAGCGCACGGCGGGATGAAAACCCTAAAAATTTTCGCGGTGAAGACGACGCACGCCCGAGGCGCGCGAGAAGCATAACAGCAGCGGAAGCAGTTAGGTGGTGGGCCCACCCACAGGATCGACCCAAGGGGGTCGACCTGCTCTGATAGCATGTCGAAACAAGCTAGGCAAAGTTTAGAAACAGAAAGAGGGTTTGAACTAGCAGGCAGTTGAGTACAAATAGCAAACCCTAGATTGGGCTGTACTCGCTATAGAGTACCCCACTGCAGGCTAGACAATATAACATTCTGACACCAAGGTGCCTTCATGAACATTGGAGTTGCCCGCACATAGTGTGTCTGACTAGAATACCTTGTGAAATCCTCATCACCTGGTATAGCCATGCCCTTTCTGACTTGGATCTCGTCGCTTAATTCAACGCCATCGGCTTGTCGTTGTGACAACAAGGCGCGGAGCTGCAACATGTCGCCAGGTGCTGCTGTTTCGTATTCCCGCCAAAGATCGCCGCCAACAAATCGAGAGTCCCTCCAGTTCACCTTGTGCGACGTGGCCACGAGCGTGTTTCTCCCGGTTTCCATGGCCTGCGGTGCAGATTGGGGTGCACTTGTTAAAAAACATTGAGAAGATGGTTAGAAGCAGTTTAGAGGACTATGCCATACCATGCATCACCTACCTTTTGTAGGGCGACCATTCGATGGTGTGAATCCTCCTTGTTGTGGTCCGAGTCATCAAGAGCTTGCAGCATTCGTGCCATCACACTATGTTTCACGATTTGAGGCATAGCGTCACGTTTGTTGCTTGCACGGTACGCCCTCTTCACAAGAGGTTGGTGAAGAAACTCGAACATGTTGGCGTTGTAGTGAACGGGGACACCGGAGCGTCGAATGTCATCGACCAAATGCACAAGGCCATGCACCTTGCCGATGTTGAACTCGGATGCTTGAAATTCGCCAAACACATCCTTCAACATTGGAATCAATCTGACAAGAGGCGAGAGGGAGGAAAAAGGGATGAGAGAGATGGGAGTGACAATGTTTGAGAGGGAGGACAACGGCAAGGCAGGGATGGAAGCGAGAAGGGATGAGAGAGATGGGAGTGGAGGGATGAGAGTGAGGAAGATGGGAATGAAGAGGGTTGGGAGTGAGGGAGAAGGGAGGACAGAGATGGGAGTGGAGGGATGAGAGGGTGGAAGATGGGAATGAAGAGGGTTGGGAGCGAGGGAGAAGGGAGGACAGAGATGGGAGTGGAGGGATGAGAGGGTGGAAGATGGGAATGAAGAGGGTTGGGAGCGAGGGAGAAGGGAGGACAGAGACGGGAGTGGAGGGATGAGAGGGTGGAAGATGGGAATGAAGAGGGTTGGGAGTGAGGGAGAAGAGAGGACAGAGATGGGATTGGAGGGATGAGAGGGTGGAAGATGGGAATGAAGAGGGTTGGGAGTGAGGGAGAAGGGAGGACAGAGATGGGAGTGGATGGATGATAGGGTGGAAGATGGGAATGAAGAGGGTTGGGAGTGAGGGAAAAGGGAGGACAGAGATGGGAGTAGAGGGATGAGAGGGTGGAAAATGGGAATGAAGAGGGTTGGAAGGGAGGGAGAAGGGAGGACAGAGGCAGGAGTGGAGGGATGAGAGTGAGGAAGATGGGAATGAAGAGGGTTGGGAGTGAGGGAGAAGGGAGGACAGAGATGGGAGTGGAGGGATGAGAGGGTGGAAGATGGGAATGAAGAGGGTTGGGAGGGGGGGAGAAGGGAGGACAGAGGCAGGAGTGGAGGGATGAGAGTGAGGAAGATGGGAATGAAGAGGGTTGGGAGTGAGGGAGAAGGGAGGACAGAGATGGGAGTGGATGGATGATAGGGTGGAAGATGGGAATGAAGAGGGTTGGGAGGGAGGGAGGGAGAAGGGAGGACAGAGGCAGGAGTGGAGGGATGAGAGTGAGGAAGATGGGAATGAAGAGGGTTGGGAGTGAGGGAGAAGGGAGGACAGAGATGGGAGTGGAGGGATGAGAGGGTGGAAGATGGGAATGAAGAGGGTTGGGAGTGAGGGAGAAGGGAGGACAGAGATGGGAGTGGATGGATGAGAGAGAGGAAGAAAGGAGTACATTGATGGGAGTGAGGAGGGATGAGAGAGGAAAAAGGGAGGACAGCGATGGGAGTGAGGAGGGATGAGATGAAGGAAGTTGGTTGGACGACGATGGGGGTGAGAAGGGATGAAATTTATGCCCTCATCTCTCATCATCTAATTACTGTCACCCACGCGTTACTCAACCCCTATCCCTTTCAGATTCCACGCCAACTCCCCTCTTCTGATATTCCTTTTCCATCCCATCACTTTCCCTGCCCCTTATTCCTCAACAGGCAGCAATATGGGGGTTGGCCTTGGGCGGAACGGATGTCGGCAACCCGTACAGGGCATTACTCATCGAGATCATGCATGCTCTTGATCTTGGCATCTTCATGCATATCATCTCCTGCATTCAAGCCATGCTAAAGAAGAAGAAGGAAACACACGTGCTGAAAGAGCTAGATTCGGTCCTGCAAACAATAGCACGTGATACTCGAATCAGTGGTTTCCGGCTACCGGGTGGAGAGAAGGGTGGTTACTTTGCAGGAGCTGCAAAGTTTCAGGCGTTTGAACACCGTGCCATCATGCAAGTGTGCACGATTGTCCTTGCCGGGCGTGTAGAGCAAAGAATTGTGGATGCTGTAGCTGCATTTGTCGACTGCTACATGCTGGCCTCTAGGAGGTGGTACCATAGAGATAACACCCTTCAAGAACTTGACCAGGCAATCAAAAGGTACTCCAAGTGTCTGCCCTGCATTCTCTCCCTTTCGGTTTCAGATCTAATTCCACTCTGTGCCGACTCCTCCCATCCATTTCTGCAATTCATATCTCACCCATATCTGTCCTACCTTTCTTTCTCTCTGTCATCTCTCCACTACCATCTCTGTCCTCCCTTCTTCCTCCTTCTCAACCCTCTTCATTCCCATCTTCCACCCTCTCATCCCTCCACTCCCATCTTTGTCCTCCCTTCTCCCTCCCTCCCAACCCTCTTCATTCCCATCTTCCACCCTATCATCCATCCACTCCCATCTCTGTCCTCCCTTCTCCCTCCCTCCCAACCCTCTTCATTCCCATCTTCCACCCTATCATCCATCCACTCCCATCTCTGTCCTCCCTTCTCCCTCGCTCCCAACCCTCTTCATTCCCATGTTCCACCCTCTCATCCCTCCACTCCCATCTCTGTCCTCCCTTCTCCCTCGCTCCCAACCCTCTTCATTCCCATCTTCCTCACTCTCATCCCTCCACTCCTGCCTCTGTCCTCCCTTCTCCCTCCCTCCCAACCCTCTTCATTCCCATTTTCCACCCTCTCATCCCTCTACTCCCATCTCTGTCCTCCCTTCTCCCTCACTCCCAACCCTCTTCATTCCCATCTTCCACCCTCTCATCCCTCCACTCCCATCTCTGTCCTCCCTTCTCCCTCACTCCCAACCCTCTTCATTCCCATCTTCCACCTTATCATCCATCCTCTCCCATCTCTGTCCTCCCTTCTCCCTCACTCCCAACCCTCTTCATTCCCATCTTCCTCACTCATCCATCCACTCCCATCTCTGTCATCCACTCTTCCTCCCTCTAAATCCCTCCTCACTCCCATCTATATCCTCCCTTCTTCATCCCTCTCATCCCCTCTCACTCCCATCCCCGTCCTACCATCTTCCTCCCTCTCATCCCTCCCTACACCCATCTCTGTCCTCTCTTGTTCCTCCATCTCATCCCTCCTCACTCCCATCTCTGTCATCTCGTCTACCTCACTCACCTTGACTGGGTGGATGCTCATGGCCTTTGCGGCATCATTCCGGGCGGTAAGTGTCGGTATTGCAAGTAGCTCCTCGACCTTCTCCGCCTGACCCGCCTCGGTTCGGTACTCTGATGAAATCTCCATGTTGCTTATATCATCTCGTCGCACTAGACACCTGTGACACGGATATTGCGCTTGGTGGCTTGCAAAGGTGCCTGCCACCTTACATGCCTCTGGTTGGTCTGCTACGTCGGCATATAAGGCCAGGTAGACCTCATGACGTTCACCGAATGGGTCACGCATGATGATCCCACTGTTTGTGTAGTACCAAAGAAAGTGAGGGGCGGGGAAGGGAGCCAAAGTGTGAATTCAGCATGCGAGAGAAGGGGGAAGGCATGTGTCTACAAAACAAGTTTTGACGTAAGGGATGGGTGACCGTTCATGCTATATGGGAGGTGTGTGTTCGAGTGTAGGTGAGCCATATTGTAGACTCTACCAAGGCCATATTCTGGCCCCAAGGCCAGCCCCCTTGTGGACTGAAATGTGTATGATGATTCTACCATAATGGACTAATGATTTAAGAAGTTGTCAAAGAGAGAGGGAGAAAGAGGGGCAGGAGGAAGAAGGGGGGTAAAAATGCATGATGTTCTTGTGTGGGGTGTAATGTGTGTGATAAGAGTGATAGCATGTGGTGGAGAGGGGAGTGACAAAAAAGGGTGGGATGTAGGAATGTTGCTTGTCATGAATGTGTGTGTGATGGGGGAACGAAAGCATAAGTAGAGTATGAGGGAGGACATGAGACAAAGGTTGTTGTTGTTCATCCAAAACCCGCTCTTGGAGTGTGTTTGCAGGTGAGGGAAGAAAAACAGAGGATCACGCATGGTATGAAATCTGATTCTGACACGGGATGGAAATTCAATTTCGTGGAAACATGAGGTGACAAAATGATCAAATATACAGGTTACCAACCTTTTAGAAGCCTCTCGGAAGTCTTGCATGATGCGATCCATGGCTTTTTGAAACACCACGCGGCGCGTCTCCTTCCCTGCTTCGGTTTTTGCATCCACGCCAGTCAAAGGTGGCAGCATGGCAATCATGATATGGCCATGCGGCTGCCATCTGTTCTTGACTGTAATGTTACCTAGAGTCATGTACACAGGATGCCCAACCACTCGACTGTCACTACTGAGGTTAGTAGCATCACTGTATAGTATAACGGTCGCCAAAATAGCACCCCTAGGCAGTAACGCTTGAGCTTCAATCCACATATTCCCAGTTTCCGGTCCTGCGTAAATCCGTTGCTTTCCATCTGCTGTGTAAATCGGTTTCGCCCACAAGACAAACCCCTCATGGTTCTTACGCTCCGAAAATAGTGACTCTACCGCCTTGGAGAGTGATGTTAGATAGAGTATAGCGACGTGGTCACTGTTGTGACTAACACCTACTGACTCCCACTCCTCTATTCCTGTCATTTGCACAAGCAATGTCTTGGCATACTTATCCATGCCTGCTCGGTTTGTATAGCTCGGCCTCTCCGCTGTAGGCCTGCAAAATAGTGCTAAAATGTTGTTGGTGTCCGTAGCAGACAAACCCATGCCTCCGTTGCAACTGTGGATGACCTTCAAAAACCCTTTGTCAATATCAAACGCCGGTACTGCTGCTGGTGACTCCGATGGAAATTCATACCGTGGCAACTCTGGGACCTCATCTGCTTGCTCTGGCTGAGCGCTCCCGGGCGCTGCATCTGTCCTCACGGTGTCTGCTGGCAGTGCTGTTGTTGAGCCTGAGTTCTGCCCGCTCTGATCCGCCTGTCTACGTCTTATATGCTGGATCAAATCTTCCACCTCCTCCCGCTCACGTGGTCGTTTTCTGCAAGCCTTTCTATGGTTCTCATATGCTCTCCCACTTGTGAACGTCCTATTACAGCACACGAACAGCATGATGCCTTACAGATCTACGTCCGCCGCCATGGAAACCAGCTATATAGTAGAGCTGAGAACCCTTAATGCAGGCCTTTCAGCACTCCTATGAATCTCCAGATTCGGAGGCTAATGTCACCTAATGCCAACAGCTCTCTCGCCTCTCGTTGCAGGCAAAACTGCAGCTAAATGAAGCACAGGTTCAATCTGAGAATTGAGATAGACCTGGAAACTAACTTCGCCAGGAGATTAAGATAAATTTTAGGTCCAACAAGCTCCACACGATCAACAATATGAGAATAGGTGTCCCATGAAACGGTCTGCACGAAAGCTTGAAGAGCGCTGTGAAATATGTGTAGTTGCATCTATTATTTTAAAAAGCATTCGGAAACAAAACAGTTCTTTAGTTGGCCATGCCATCGAAAAACCGTCTCGTTGTCTCTGATCGCTAGGCACCAGAGGCAGATCGGGTGATCTAACTGGCGCCATAACGATGCCAATGAACTCTGAAACGGGCGGTAATTATGGCTGTTGAAGGAAACTAAGCGCAGCGTAACGTTAACAATCACAAATTTTACTGCAGTAAGGGCCGTTGGAGGATGAGCGTCTGGAAGAAGGTGAGCAAGCAGGTGGTGTTTGTCCCCACACACAGTGTTGTCCAGGTCGCACGGGTTGGGAATGCGACTTTGGACGAATCACATTCGCGCTCTGCACCAACGACGGTGTCGCGTGAAATGTCGCACTGTACAATGCGACCTGCTAGGCGAAAATCGCAAGTTGCGACACCAGGCAAGACGAAATTCGCAGAGGGAGCGAAAATCGCAGGTCGCGACAGCAGGCAGGACGAAAATCTTCACGCTGACCAATCGCAGCCCTTACCGACATTCAGGATTGTGGGCCAACGAATGTTTACTGGCGGGGAATATGGACAGGTTGGAATATGGCAGCCGTAACATTGTTGCATGTTTGACCCCAAACATGTTAAGTCGATTTAATTAATCACTGGACACAAGAATAACATAACCAGACGTAAACATGTTAGACAATTAAAAAAAACATGAATTAATTGTATGTGATACAAATAACAATTTCGTACTTGCACATATCCCATAATGCCGCACTGATGCATTTTTTCAAAACAATGATATTATACTGACATCACCAATTTCAAAACTGAGGATTGACCTTTTGTACCTTCTATCGAAACCCTAACACTATACGCGGGATATGTGAGTTCGCCGATGTGGCGCCAGCTGCCCGCTTCTGAAATTGTTGTCCACAATAGGCAGGCAGATTTCGTGTGCTGCCCGCGCGCAATTTCGTAGCCAATACAACCAGCCAGAAGCATGCCCGCCAATTCCCAGATCTGTACTCACGCAAAATTCCGGAAAACATCATCAGCGAAATCACCACTCGCAACCTGCGAGGCAACGAAGGTAAATGTGCGATGCAATCCTGGCCGCCGAATCTGACGCCGTTGCACGCGACGCGCAGCAGCACGGCGCCCAGCAGGTTGTCGGAGAACGCAGAGAAAGGATCGCCGTCGGATCGCCTGGCCTGCTGCTGGGGTGGTGCCTCGCGATTCGACGCCTCAGCCATGTCTGGTCTGGCGATTCTGCTGTGCTTGGTCGGAAGGATGAGGATACAAGATGAGATCTCAGATCTGAACTTACGAATTAAACAGTCTGCGGTGGAAATCTACGGATTTACAAGGATTGGAGTGCAAGGGTGCGGTGCGGTGTCAAAGCTCTAGTTGAGGAAGCATGTAGTTAACTACATGAACAATCGTGGCCTACAAGCAGACATGAAGTGGGAACAAGTGAGCGGGAAAGCAAGCACACTCTGACAAGACGGGTGGCCTGGCATGTGGGGAAGGTGAGGGTTGATACTGAGGGACGTGGGGTAGCGACAAGTGGCGGACTCACAACGAAATGAACACCAAAGGATGCGCTTCGATGTCAGCCATCACGAGTCGCATTTCAGAGTATTTGTACACATTAGAGTTCCAAAGGCAAGGAATATATACTTACAAGTACGATGATTTGTTTATTAAAAGTAAAAAGACTAGACAAACTGCTTCACCTTTCAAAGCATGGTAGAAGTTTAGCATTTATTGCCAGCCAAGTAGAGTGTTACAATCAAGGCATTCCACCTGGCCAAGTTGAGGCGTGAGCAGGTGACAAGGCAGGACGCAGCTAGAAGCGTTTGTGTTTGACGCGCCAGACTCGCCAGCGATTGCGCCCCACCAGGAATGCCAGATATGCCAGCACTGCTCCCCCACCCCACACCGACCATGCCACTGGCGCCTCCTGGCAGGACGGAGAGACACACAGTAGAGAGGAGTGAGGTGGAAGGCACACAGGGAAAGGGTGAGGCGAGGGGCACACAAGGAGGCACAAAGAATACAGGTGTGGATGAAAGGGAGCAATGGCTGCGATGCCACAGCAACGGCAGGCAGAAGAGGGAGGGAGGGAAGGGGGGGGGGGGGGGGGGAGAAGGGAGGGGAGGGGAAGAAAGGGAGTACCTGGAAGCAGGAGAAGGAGGTGTGCATGTCCTGTGCGGACTGCCCCGCCAGCTCAAACAGCGCGTCCATGTCATGGCGCGCCGACCGCGCGTAGTACCCCGCCAGCTGCATGTCCACCACCGACAGTGCGGCCGCAGCGCGGTGCAGCTTGTGGCGCAGCACCGCCCAGCGCTGCTCAAAGCGCTGCCTCACCGCGCCCGGCTTCAGCGCCGCCTCCTCCGACCCGTACCTCTGGCGGTACGGGTTGGTGGGGGCGTACAGCGGAGGGTAGCGGCATGAGAAGGCGGTCAAGCATGGATCAGAAAGAGGAAAGCATTGACGATTTGGGTTGAGGTGCGGCTTGGGAGGTAGGGATTAGCGGGCAGACCAAATGGAGAGGGAAGATGATAAGGGAGGGAGACTAGGAGGGGGGAAAAGGAGGGGAGACGACGAGGGGAGAAAAGATGAAGGGAGAAGGAGAGAAGAGGAGGAGACGCAGAAGGGGAGGGGAGAATGCAAGGGGAGAATGCAAGGGGAGAATGCAAGGGGAGAATGCAAGGGGAGAATGCAAGGGGAGAATGCAAGGGGAGAAGGGAAGAGAAGTGAGGCACCTGGAGCGCGGAGAGGAGGTGGAGGGTGCTGGCGATGGTGGAGTTGAGTGTGGAGAGCACCACGTTGCGCAGCGCTGTGTCTCGCATCGTGGTCGTGACAGTGAGGTGGCGCGAGAACAGGCCCATGGGCGTGATGCCGCTGCTCCACCGGTAGTCGTGCTGCGATGCATTGTGGATGGCGCTCCATGCCTCGTGACTGGTGGGGTGCATGGCAGATGGCAGAGGGGGGATGCAGCGAGGATGGAACCAAATTTGTGTCAGATATGGACACTTGAAGGGCTAATAAGCAACTGTAAGTTGGTTTTTGTGTTCTTACACACAATCTGTTCTCATTAGGTTGGATGGAGGGAGACACATGTGGGTGGCAGCGGTGTATGTGGGTGGCAGCGGTGTATGTGGGTGGCAGCGGTGCATGTGGGTGGCAGCGGTGCATGTGGGTGGCAGCGGTGTATGTGGGTGGCAGCGGTGTATGTGGGTGGCAGCGGTGTATGTGGGTGGCAGCGGTGCATGTGGGTGGCAGCGGTGCATGTGGGTGGCAGCGGTGCATGTGGGTGGCAGCGGTGTATGTGGGTGGCAGCGGTGCATGTGGGTGGCAGCGGTGCATGTGGGTGGCAGCGGTGCATGTGGGTGGCAGCGGTGCATGTGGGTGGCAGCGGTGCATGTGGGTGGCAGCGGTGCATGTGGGTGGCAGCGGTGCATGTGGGTGGCAGCGGTGCATGTGGGTGGCAGCGGTGCATGTGGGTGGCAGCGGTGCATGTGGGTGGCAGCGGTGCATGTGGGTGGCAGAGAGCGTGAGGGTAGAGCACAGCAGGAAGGTGGCGCATGGACCAACGAGGGAAGGAGGGGGCGAGCAGGGAGAGGGGGCGAGCAGGGGGAGGGGGCGAGCAGGGGGAGGGGGCGAGCAGGGGGAGGGGGCGAGCAGGGGGAGGGGGCGAGCAGGGGGAGGGGGCGAGCAGGGGGAGGGGGCGAGCAGGGGGAGGGGGCGTACGTGGGGGCGACGCCCCAGGCGGTTTGCAGGATGGCAGAGAGCACGGCGCGAGTGATGTTGGTGGGATCCACGTGCACCCCCTCGCCCTCGCACCTGCTATGCACACAGGGGGGGCGGTTGTGGTGGTAGGGCAGGCAGAGTGTGGTGTGGCAGGCATGCAGCAAGGGGTGGGTGGGACGACCAGCAGAGAAGGTGGGGCAACGGAATCACAACAATGGCACTGTGACCATCTGCGCTACATGGCCCACCCTCCATCCCCCCTCCACACTTCCCATCGCCCCCCCTCCCTCCCACCTCTCCTACACCTTGTCTCACATGAAGTGCGAGGGCAGGGGCGGGGCAGTGGTGCGCACAGCCAGCACCATGTCGTCGTATGCCAGCGCCTGATGGCGGTGGGAGGAGGATGTGCGGACGGGCATGGTGACACAATGGTGCAGAGGGAGGTCACGAACGCATGGTGAGTATGTGAAAACATAGGCGTAGCTCGCGGGAGAGGGTTGACACATGTCTAGAACCGCCTTGTACCCCTTTGCACCCGCTCCCTTCTGCCACGGGCATTACCCGGTGGCGGCCGTCCAGCAGCAGGGGGGATGGCTCGTGCAGGTCAAAGAGGAAGACGGGGAAGAAGCGCCCCGCATGCGGGTTGGGGTCGTTGCGCTCCGCATAGTCTGGCAGTGGCAGGCCGGCTAGCTCTGCGAGCAAAGGCAGATGCGCAGGCGGTTGGGGAGGGGCGGGCATGGGGAGGTGCGAGTGAGGCGGTGCGTGCAAACGAGGCATGTGAAGCAGCAGCACCACATCCACATCCACGCCCACGCCCATCACGGACAACAGCACGCAGGTCAGCAGGAAGGGTGAGGTGTGGTGGCTCACCAGTGATCTCAGGCTCACCAGTGATCTCAGGCTCACCAGTGATCTCAGGCCAGAACTCAGACAGGTGGCGGTGCAGATCCTCCGAGTCCAGGTGGCGCCGCACCTCCATGCCAGCTGGCACGCCTGCTGCTGAGCTGGCAGCGGCACCGGCGGAGGCAGTGGTGGCCTCGTACAGGCCCGACTGGCGGAGAGAGGGGGGCGCGGACAGGAAGGGAGGTTGAAGTGAGGATACACCTACATTTCGGCTGGCTGTGAACAAAATGATGTTCCGAGTTGACACAACACATTTGCCTGTGACAAATAAAGAATACATGTAGCACCTTTGCACTGGCAAACAAGGAGGGCAGGGAAAATCCTTTGCCCAGCCGTGCTGAACGCCTACCCTCACTTCAAGTGTCAGGCAGAGGGCTGACATGTGTGAATGGGAAACAACTGAGAGAAGCAAACGGAGCTACGATAGAAGCGGAGGCATCATAGGAAGGAGGGGAGCGCACCCGCATGGCGCGGTGCAGGGCGGTGGAGCAGAAGGAGCAGGTGGCGAGGGAGAGGTGGACCTGCTTGAAGCGCACCTGCTGCCCCGCCAGCAGCACTGGCGGTGAGCGCGCTAGCAGCTGCGCGGGTGAAAGGCGTGATGGGGAGCAGAGAATGAATAGGCGAGGGGGTGGAGGGTGGAGGGGTGGAATGTGGCGAGCAGAGTGGGCAGAGCGAATGCAGGGTGAGGTGGCAGGGGCGTTGATGAGAGCAGAGTGCATGGGGACGAGCCACAAGGCAAAGGGGAATGGGGTGGTGGCACGTCCGTGGTGAGGTGTGTTGGGTGGGTGCACAGAGCCTGGCAGGCATTTTGCGCCGCACCCCATGCTGAGTTGGTGCCCCCGTGAATGGGCCATGCACACACTCTGCATCCCACCAGCGTTGCACACAGAGGGCGCGGCTGACCTGGTCCTTGATGGCGCTGAGGTCCAGCCCCATGTCCTCCTCGCCTGCACGCCCACCATCTCCAGTAGCGCCAGTGCGCATGGCAATGAGCCAGATGTCGGTGGTGACTGCGTACACCACGGGCGCGTGCAGCAGTGGCGGCACAAACACATGGCGCACTGCACTGTCCACCAGCACTGCCACGTGCGCCAGGAATGCCTGTGGGGTGTAGCAGGGGTGTGGGAGGGGTTGGGGAAGAGAGAAGAGGGACGGGAGGAGAGAGGAGGGGAGGGGCAGAGGAGGTTAGGGGAGCGGAGGGGAGGGGAGGGGAGGGAAGGGGCAGAGGAGGGCAGGGGAGGGAGGGAGGGGTGGGGAGGTTATGGGAGGGGAGGGGAGGGGAGGGGAGGGGAGGGGAGGGGAGGGGAGGGGCAAAAGAGGGGCAGGTTAGGGGTAGCAAGAGTGAGTGTAACAGCAGGTGGCGTGTGTGCGTTGGTGGCAGTGGTGGCGCCGACCCCAGGGCCATCTTGAGGCAGGACAAGGAGAGGTTGGGGTGTGAGAGGGTTGAGGGAGAGCGACGGAGGAGCAGCAGATGTGTGCTGAGCGGAGGAGGTGCATGCACTGATGGCAGGCAGCTGTGAGCAGCGTGAGGTATGTCCGTTCCCTTATCTCACACATGCACGCGTGCTCCCGCATGTGCTCTCACCCCGTGCAGCAGCTCCTTGCTGTACTGCTCTCACCCCGTGCAGCAGCTCCTTGCTGTACTGCTCTGCTCGCAGGTATGCGGCGGGCGTGACGGCCCCCTGCCCCTCCCACGCCGGCCCGTAGCTCACCGGCCCCGCCGTCAGATCCACCCACACGTAGCGCTGCTCGCGAGGGAACAGGGGGGAGGAGGGGTGCGGGCGAGGAGCGGGGAGAGCATGAGCGAGCAGGGAGAGCATGGGCGGGGAGAGCATGGGCGGGGAGAGCATGGGTGGGGAGAGCATGGGCGGGGAGAGCATGGGTGGGGAAAGCGCGAGGGAGCGCTGGTGAGAGCTGGCTAGTGGCGAAGCACAGGCGGGTGCGAGCAGAGGGAAGGGGGGGTGCATGTGATGAGGTAGGGTGCAATGAGGGCGGTGGTATGAGGTAGGGTGCAATGTGGTAGGGTGCAATGAGGTAGGGTGCAATGAGGGCGGTGGTATGAATATGCATGTCAGGGCGAGCGCGGGGCAGCAAGCGAGGGGCAGCAAGCAAGAGCGCAGGAGGTGACCTGATCATGGAAGTTGGTGCCGGGGCACACGGTGTCCCCCCGGCTGCCATACGAGTACGCGTAGCGCCGTGGCATCACCCGCGGGTTCAGCACGTACACCGCGTAGCCCCCTCCTGCGCCCTCGCCCTCGCCCGCCCCTGCACTAGCAGCAGCAGCAGCAGCGGGGGGTGTGAGCGTGGCGGCGTCGGTGCGCACGTGGGTGTCCACGAGCGAGTGCGGCAGCAGCACCACCCCGCCCTCGCCCACCCGCCCCATGGCCTGCCGTGTGCGCACGGGGGAGATGGGAGTGGTGGCATGGAGGGGCGACACATGGCATGGAGGGGCGACACATGGCATGGAGGGGCGACACATGGCATGGACCTCACCACCTTGCGTGCCCTACTCCCTCACCACCTTGCGTGCCTTTCTCCCTCACCACCTTGCGTGCCCTTCTCCCTCACCACCTTGCGTGCCCTACTCCCTCACCACCTTGACCAACCCCTCCGTGGCACCAACCAAGCTCCACTTGTGGCGACTGAAGCAATCGCGCGGCCCACGAATCCGTACAGCCTCCTTTCTTCCAACTCAACAAGTCTTCCTTCACGCCCACCCCTCCGTGTCACCACCCCTCCATGCTTAGTTGGTACTTTACGTTTTTTTGGGTCACGTAAACGTAAACTTACACTTGAGTTTACCTTTACGTTTTCTTACGCGTAATTTTACGTAAAGTCGCACGGGCAGGGCAAAAAAAAGTTTCTTTGTCTGCTAAACTAGAAAATCTGACTGATATGAGGTGGGAGAGGCTTGTGACATGTCCGTTTAGATTTGGGGCATCTGTAAGTTGATGTAATAATGTGCTAACACGCTTGGGCGTAGAAGAACCAAGCTAGTGATAGATTAGGCGCTTCCCATGCAGCCACTTAGTCCGATGATTTCTTATCTTATCGGGCAGCCAGAAATGTTTCTGGCTGACCGTAAACGTAAAGCCATTTTGGGCCCACGTAAGTAAACGTAAGTTTACTACGTAAAGTCACGTAAACGTAAACCCCCGTAAACGTACAATACCAACTAAGCCTCCATGTGAGTGGGACTGCGTGCGAGTGCGGGTGCGTGCGAGTGGGAGTGCATGCGAGTGGGAGTGCATGCGAGTGGGGTAAGTGTGAGTGCGCGTGACAGTGAGAGCGTCACTCACCCGCCCAACGAAGCGGAAGATGTCAGTGGAGATGGCGGACGCCAGGCGCCTGGGTGCACGCGACACCGAGAACGCCACGCGCTGCCGCACTGCCAGCGCGTGTGACTGAGTGGGGGGGAGAGGAGTGGGGAGATGGAGGGGAGAGGAGTGGGGAGATGGAGGGGAGAGGAGTGGGGAGATGGAGGGGAGAGGAGTGGGGAGATGGAGGGGAGAGGAGTGGGGAGATGGAGGGGAGAGGAGTGGGGAGATGGAGGGGAAGGAAGAACGATGTAGGAGAACAAGGGAGTGGGTGGGTGAGAACAATGGGGAGAGTTGGAAGGAGAAGTGGTGGCAGAAGGGTGGGTAGGAGGGATGCAGGAGCAGGCTGAGGAGTGCGAGGGGCGGCTGCTGACAGCAAGAGGGCGCCAGGCATGGAGGGGCAGAGAAAGTGGCGGGCATGGAGGGGCAGAGAAAGTGGCGGGCATGGAGGGGCAGAGAAAGTGGCGGGCATGGAGGGGCAGAGAGGGCGGCGGGCATGGAGGGGCAGAGAGGGTGGCGGGGCGGTGGAAAGGCAGGAGGGTCTGGAAGTGAGGGGAGAGGGTGGACGGCGAGAGGCAGAACGGGAAGAGGTGGCCGTGTGTGATGCATGCACATGGGATAGTGGATGGGGTAGTGGATGGGGCAGTGGATGGGGCAGTGGATGGGGTAGTGGATGGGGTAGTGGATGGGGTAGTGGATGGGGTAGTGGATGGGGTAGTGGATGGGGCAGTGGATGGGGCAGTGGATGGGGCAGTGGATGGGGTAGTGGATGGGGCAGTGGATGGGGCAGTGGATGGGGCAGTGGATGGGGCAGTGGATGGGGCAGTGGATGGGGCAGTGGATGGGGCAGTGGATGGGGTAGTGGATGGGGTAGTGGATGGGGCAGTGGATGGGGCACTGGATGGGGCAGTGGATGGGGTAGTGGATGGGGCAGTGGATGGGGTAGTGGATGGGGTAGTGGATGGGGCAGTGGATGGGGCAGTGGATGGGGCAGTGGATGGGGTAGTGGATGGGGTAGTGGATGGTGGGGTAATGGATGGGGCAGTGTATGGGGAAGTGGTGGCCTGCAGGCGATGCCGTGAATGCCATACCTCGCCGTGAATGCCATACCTCGCCGTGAATGGCTCGGAAGACGGTGTCTGGTTTGAGCGTGTTGAGGAACTTGGTCATCTCCTCCTGGCCCATGCACTCACACCCCCGCACACACCAATACACACGCCCATCACACCCTCCCACCAATTACCCACATCAATTCCGAAGCACACAGCAATCGCCCCCCACGCAAGGCATGGCAGAAGCAGGGAGGGAGAGCGCAAGTGAGGGAGAATGGCGGCATGGGGGACACACGGGTGGTGAGCACGGCAGGGGGACACACGGGTGGTGAGCACGGCAGGGGGACACACGGGTGAGTGGGGGAGAAAGCCGAAAGTGATGGGCTGCCACCTGTCCGCTCCCCATTCCCAACACTCCCCTCGCCGCCTCCTCCTGCCATCCCCCAACGCCACTCGTCCTCTCATCCCTCTCTCCCAGATCGCCTCCGCCCTTCCGCCCGCCATCCCCCCGCCCTCGTCTTTTCGCACTCAAATCTGCTCCCCCACCGCGTTCACAGCCCCCCGCGCTCGTAGCGCGGAGCTCACCGGCTGCACGCGGAGGTTGCTGTTGTCGTCGCGGTCGCCGTCGAACCCCACGAGCCGCACGTGCACGCGCGTCACCACCTCCACCTCCGCTAGCCGCCGCATCTTCGCCGCCAGCCCCGCGTCCTCCGCCGCGCCCTGCGCCCACCGCCGCTTGTCCGCCTCCGCCAGGCGCGCGAACGAGTCGTCGTCCGCAAGCGGGTCCTCCGCCAGCGCGTTCAGGCGCGCCGCTGCTGCGCCGCCGCTGCCGTGCGAAGCAGCAGTGGGGTGCGGGAGCGGGAGGAGGAGCAGGAGGAGGAAGAGGAGCGGCATGGTGATGCCGCAGGTCGGCAAAGGCTCGCAGCGAGAATGGGCGAATGGGGCGCAGCGAGCGACGGCGACGCGACGTGAGCTCGTGGCGGCTAGGTGAGCAATGTATGATCGGTGGTTCGCTGGTTGCAATGGGATCGGATGATCGTCAACGAAAATGGTGCGTGTTCGTTCAGAGCAAGTTGGTGATCGGGAACATGTTCAATCACGTCGCCATTGTTTCGTAAACGAGTCAATCTCAAACGTATGAGGGAAAAGATCAGAAAGGGGCCCCGAGAGTAGTAGCAGTAAAGTGGCCAACTTGGGGCCTTGTGAGTCGCGCTCCTACTACGTAGCCTCGAAGCAACGAAAACACCTTGGCTGTTAGGCCGAGCCTGGCCTTCTCGCCAGGTCACCACCTACTGGCTTGGGGTTGACGGAAGTCGTTATTGACTTGCTATCTTAAATTACCCAGAAGAACATTCGTTTAACTTAAAAACACATCGCAATGGTACAAAAAATAAACCCCATTCGGATGGCATATAATTGGGGAAGCATCAACCCTAAACACCATGTGGCAAGATGTTTAGGGCTGAGACCCCTTCGAAGGCATGACGCACGAGAGTAAAATTCGTCAACTTCTAAATGTCGAGTCAAATTTTTCGATGTCGTCAAGGAAGAATTCGTCATCTTGTGTGGTCAGGTCTGACGGAGCGCGTGGATAAGGTTAAAAAATTGTGGGGCGTAGGTCCGGCCCAGGTTCGACTCCTTGCGACACACGAGGCCCCAAGTTGGCGACTTTTCTAGAGCTCTGGGGCCCCAATCTGATCATTCCCCAACGTATGATTAGGACACGTCAACTCCAGCATATTTCGGCGATCGATCCTGCGCAGGATCGATTTCTGACTGGGTTAGAAGAGGTTCTAATATTTTATGGAAGCAAATGCGGGATTTCAGCGAGGTGACTGATCCATATTGCAGGATAGCAAGAGTTGACACGTCCTTACAATCAGTCTCAACTAACTAAATGAAACCAGAGTGTAATAAACATGGAAATTTATTACTAAGTCTGCTCCTAGGGAGTGCATTCCGAGCACTCGGCATTGGTTTGAGCTCGGCCTACACTTCGGCCGAAACCACATTCCGAGTCGCCCTGCACCAATCGCGATTCTTCCAACCCTCGCACGTCCCGAGGTCCTCACTTAGCACGGTTCCACCCTATAATTGCCCGCTCGTTCATTGTATTCTCAGATTCATTAATCACATCATTTTTATAACAGCTTCTGCGCAGTCTGTTCAGTACAAATTGTAACATTTGGTATAAGAGCTACTTTCCTAGCCCGCCCGCTTTTTAGAGTATAATACCCCGGGGGGGGTGTCAGTGTTAAGAAAGGTCGGTAGGAATGAGTGTATTAGGTCAAAAGAGGGGTACAAGAAGAATGCCGAGAAGATTTCTGTACCCCCTAGTGCTAACCCCCATACAGCCTACATAAATATAAACATATAAGTTTTGACACACCCCCATAGGCGAAATGGGGGATAGCCAGAGCAAGCAATGGTCACAAGACCAGTCAAGAGAAGAAACAAAACAAAGCTCAGGGTGGATCACAAAGTCACCACACAGTCCGAGCACAAGCAAATGGTCACAAGACCAGTTTGCATGCAGAGTCATAAAGAGCACATGCACTACAGTATTCACAACCTAGCAAGAGCAATCATGCAGGTACAGATATATAAAGATCACCGTATAAGGCAAAGTCAAGCAGTAAGCAAGTAAGGCAGAGTAGGCACACGGCCTACAGCAGTGCAGAAACGCTGATGATCACCAGACACAAGTGCCTTGGTGAAAATATCAGCAGTGTTGGCCCGTGAGGCCACGTAAGCAAGACGAAGCTGACCACGCTGCTGCAACTCTCGTGTGAAGAAGTAACGCAGAGCGATATGCTTCGTTCTGTGCTCCAGTCTGTGGTCCTGACACAAGGCAATCATGGCCTTGTTGTCGACGTACAGAACTGGAGGAGAATGAGGCCGCTCTCCCAAGTCGGTCAGCAAGTAGGTCAGCCAGCGTAACTCCTGTGCAGCCATCGCCCCCGCGTAGATCCCAGCCTCACAACTGGAGCTGAGAACAGAAGACGAGCGAGTAGACCTCAAAGAAACTGAACCGGACTGAATACAACTGGGCCCCGTCCTCCAAGCACGAGCCCCATGCCCGATGTACTGCACAAGTAACGCAGCTCCCTCCTAGCAGCTCGCCAATGCTCTAGACGGTGTCTCCCGGGCGCAACGTAGCGTGCCAGGATGCTGAGAGGGTACGCGAGGTCAGGTCGAGTGCAGGTCATCAAGTACATGAGGCAGCCCACAAGCTCTGGATACTGACCACTCGGCTCTACGGACTCGTCCGAAGGTGGAGCTGAGAGCGAGTGGCCTGTAGGCAGAGGAGTGGACTGTGGCGAGGAGAACTGGAAGTCGAAGTGCTGAAGGACCTGGTGCACCATGTGTGACTGAGTCAGAGTGATGGTGCGCCGTGCTCTGTCCCGAGTGATCTGCAAGCCAAGGTAGCTGCGCAGCTCACCCAAGTCAGTGCAGGTGTTTCTCTTCTGTAGCTCTGACTCTACAGGGGTTAGTGCCTCAGTGTGAGCAGTAGTTAAGACAAAGTCGTCGACGTACACGAGGATGTAGAACGGCGGCAGAGAAGTGTCGGTGCGTAGAAACAGCGACGGGTCAGCAGTCGAAGGAGCAAACCCAAGAGCCGCAAGCGTCATCCTCAGTGTGTCGTGCCACTCACGAGGCGCCTGGCAGAGACCGTAGACTGGCCGCCGGAGGCTCCACTGGGTACCCTCAGGAAACGACCCAGTCAAGCCAAATGGGCGGCGCAGCCAGATCTCCTCGTGCAGGCTGCCCTGCAAGAAAGTTGTGCTGAAGTCAAGCGAGTGGAGCTCGTAGTCACGCTGTGCTGCAACGTGCAGTAACACCCGAAGAGTGGTGATCTTCGGGGCGGGGGAGAAGGTCTGGAAGAGGTCGACCCCTGTCGCTGACTGAAGCCTCGTGCAACGTAACGCGCCTTGAAGACAAGCGGAGAACCTGGCGGCCGCTTCACCCTAAAAATCCACATGCCATCGACTATGTTCGCCCCAGGTGGGGGAACTGCGTCGACGTAAGTGCCCGTGGACTTCCAGGATGCCATCTCTGCATCCATGGCTGTCTGCCACTGGGAGGAGTAAGAACCTGTGATTGCCTCTGCGTAAGAGCGCGGGGTCAGGATGTCTAGTGCATCCGGGTCTCCCTCAGGGGCAAGTAGCATGGCAGCGAGATGAGGTACAGCAGCCGCAAGACACTCGAGCTCAAACTGCCTGTCCTCAAGGACGTCCGTGCCAAGGGCACACTCACCCCCGACGGACGGAGGACAGTCAGACTCAGTGACAAGACTGGCGAAGTAGTCGAGACGACACGCAGCAGCAAAGTCAACAAGCTCAGTGACTAAAGCAGACGCAACGGCAGACTCAAAAGTAGGGCCAGTGATAAGTGTAGCTAGAACACGCGTGACAGTAGGACTAGCAGCACGAGCAAGGTCAGACTCAGGGTCAGGAACGTCAAGAAGGGAGGACTCAGGAGGAGTCGGTAGGGAAACACGCTGTGGAACAGAGGAAGGACGAAGTGCCATAGTGTGAGTGCTGGGGACTGGTGGAGGACGAGGACGAGGAACACGACGAGCACGACGAACAGTGCGAACAGGCGAGGCAGGACGAGAAGCAGGCTCACGACGCTTTGTCAGGGAGTCTGTCTGCTCAGTGTAAGGAGAAGGGCAGGCAGTGGGGAGTCTGGCGGTATCTGTGTCTGAGACGGATCAGGCAGTGGACACAGTAAGGGAGGAGTAAGGCCAGTGGAAGACGGAAGACTAAGAACCTGGCGAAGAGCCGAGCCAGGTGGTCATTGTGATGACAGCGGCTACGGCAAGAAAAACGGTCGCCGCTGTGCAGTACCCTCAGTACCAGTACCAGTACCGCCAGCACCAGCACCTCTACCACCTCCAGCTCCAGTACCTCTAGTATCTCCAGCACCTCCAGTACTAGTACCTACAGCTCTAGTGCCTCCAGTACCTCTAGTACCTCCAGCACCAGCACCTCCAGCACCTCCAGCTCCAGTACCTCCAGCACCAGGACCTCTAGGTCCAGCGCCTCCTGCACCTCTAGTACCTCCAGCTCCGGTGTCTCCAGCACGAGTACCTCCAGATCCAGCGCCTCCAGTACCAACACCGCCAGCACCAGGACCTCCAGCTCCAGCACCTCCAGCTCCAGTACCTCTAGTATCTCCAGCACCTCCAGTACTAGTACCTACAGCTCTAGTGCCTCCAGTACCTCTAGTACCTCCAGCACCAGCACCTCCAGCACCTCCAGCTCCAGTACCTCCAGCACCAGGACCTCTAGGTCCAGCGCCTCCTGCACCTCTAGTACCTCCAGCTCCGGTGTCTCCAGCACGAGTACCTCCAGATCCAGCGCCTCCAGTACCAACACCGCCAGCACCAGGACCTCCAGCTCCAGCGTCTCTAGCACCAGCACCAGCTCCAGAACCTCCAGCGCCAGTATCTCCAGGCTCAGTGCCTCCTGCACCTCCAGCACCTCCAGCTCCGCGACTAGTGCGAAACTGCCGAATAACCCACTCCCGAAGCTGCTGTGGCGAGAGAGACTCCGGCCGACGAGACTGCTGCTACTGTCCACCCCTAGCAGGAGCACCAGCGACTCCACCAGCACTAGGACGCTCAGCACCTCCAGAACCAGCACCCCCAGACTCAGCACCTCCAGCAGCACCACCCCTAGAGC